ATTAGCCAGCCCCATGCGTCCAATTTACTCTTTTCTTTGTATTGCAAATTTGCAATTTGCAAGGAAACCCCTCTCCCTATTGCTACTTTACACAAAAACCACGATGGGACCACAACTCCAATTTCAACCTTTTGACAATCTCTCCAACCAAAGGTTTCTGTTCTCCTCCCTCGTCCCTCAATTGGGACCCTAACAAGTGGTTTAGTAATGGAAGAATAAATATGAACCGTTCCTAAACTTAGCGCTTAGGTGAAGGGGACAAGCCTGTGGATTTCTTGTCATGGGAGCAGATGACCCAGTAGCTGAGATGGACATTCGGCATCCTCTGAATATGATGACTCTTTGCTTGGAAGGTGACTGGGCCTCGCTCTGTTCCCACCCAGATAACTGCCTTCGGTGGTTTAGAAAAGATGGTATGGGAGATTAGCGAGTCCGCGTTCTGTGCACCCGTGGGTGCACTGAATGCGTGAACCCGCGAATAGTAGAAGGACACGTGACCATGCCAACGTTAACGCGCGTTTGAGCGTTAACGTGATCTGGTCGGTTCAATCGGACACGAACCGGTCGCGACACCAGAGATCCTTCCACCGAATCCTTCATCGCGGCGACAGGTATCACCATTGCTTTCTCTCCTTTTCTCTGATTCTTCTCTTCTCCGCTTTTCCTCTTCTCTTCTTTTCATCTGGTCTTCATCGACGGCGACAGGTATGACCATCTGTGGCAGATGGCAACTCTACCTCGTTCAATGATTTGTCTTCTCCCTCTCTCTCTTTCTCTCCCTGCGGTTGACGGGGAAGTTACGCAGAGTTCGAGACATAAATCCGTATACTCAGTGATTCAGTCCTGCTTCAGACCCAGACCCACCCAGAAACCAGGGTCCTTTAAGTTTCAACGAGAAAAAAACAACCGAAAATCCTCCTGTTACAAACGGATTTCCTTCCTGATTCCAACTATAGCAACAACAGCAGAACAATGAGTGTTGCTTTTCCGAAGTTCAATCTCTTTCCGATTTTTGATTAATTTCTGATCTTCTCATCTGTTGATCACTGAAAATTTTGTATCGATCCCATGAGTTCAGCATGTTCTGATTCTCTCTGCAGTTCGAATTCTTCTATCTTTGATTCTGTTGTTCGAAATTTGTGATTTCTTTTTTGTTTTTTAATATCTAGGGTTATTCTCTGAAGAGGTTTTGAATGCTTTATTGCTGGAAGAATCGGTTTTAAATAGAATTTTGAAAATTTCGATTTGTCTCCCTCTAGAAAGAGTATTGAACATTGAGTTAACATCGATGGAATTGTTTATTTAGAGAGGGAAAGAGAGTGAGAGTTATGGCTTCTTCTCATAGCAATATTCACTCCGAATCAGAAAAAAATGAGTAGATAATTACTGAGTTTTTTACAAAGAGCTTACACATAATACTAGAGTCCAGGTCTCCATGTGTTTCATCGCGGAACTACAGTGGAGAGCAGACTCTCTGGTCTCTATCATTGTCCTCGTCTTCGTCTTTGAGTGTCAAGCCTAGAGATAAATGGTTCAACTTAGCACTCGGGTCTGTCCATCTGCTTTAAAGAACATTGACCTCTGGTGTCAGAGCAATCAGGAATGAGTCCTTGTTGCCGGAGAAGAGGAGAGAAAGCAACGGTCATACCTGTCATCGTCTCCTTGTTACCGCCGATAGAGGAAGGGTTCGGTAGAAGGAGCTCTGGTGTCGTGACTGGTTCGTGTCCGATTAAACCGATCAGACCACGTTAACGCTCAAACAGACGTTAAGTGGACATGTTCGACGTGTCCTTCTCCTATTTGCGGGTTCACGCATGGAACGCGGACCCGAGATTAGCCGCTTCTTCTTCTAGGTCACATACGGGAAAAGTGGCAACAAATCAGGTGCATTTTATCAAAAGTTACAGGGTTTTGATTGGTCAATTCAGTTACATGCATTTAAAGAATGAGGCTGATCAACTTGATATGGATTAGACCAATGTTTTAAAAATCAATTTGGAATTGAAACCGTAGTGATCACCGATTCTAAATTGAAAGGTCAAGAATTCAACCGCATAAGTCAGCGAATCACTGGCCAAGTCATCAGTTTTTGGCCAAAAAAACCGGTTCAAGAGTAAAATGGAATCGATTGCCTTGGTAGTTTTCGGGTCAAAACAATGACGATTTAAAAACCATGAATTAGACCACCCGTGAAATAAAGGGTGTATCCGCCATCAATAGTGGAATCATCTTAGACCTTGCTTCTGAGATTGGGAAAATGCTCCAAAGGAATAATTAAGACTAGTGAGCCTCCTACTTGGGCTCCTTTAAAGTCAAGGTTGATGGTGGTTTTCTGAATGCATCTTTAACCTCTGTTTTTCTTATTAGAGATAGCAGTGGTATTTGCTGGGGTGCAAGTTGTGGATCAGTGCAAGTCTCTTCACCTTTAGTTGCTGAAGCCAAGGCCTTGCGGTCAATTGGGTTTATATGTTGTCTTTGGAAAGAGTGATTTTTTTAATCTGATAATTTGAATCTTTATTAACAGTCTAATTGGAGATGAAGACTTGTTTAAAGGAAACCATGTTTCTATTAAAAGGTTAAATACAGATTCTGTTTTTGAGTTTAAACTAGTGAATAAGTACGGGGAATCAGTAATGTTAAATTTATATTATGGAATCAATAATGTTAAATTTATATTTATTAATATTTTAAATAATTATTAAAATTTTAATAAATATTTATTTCAAAAAATAGTTTTTCAATAGTTATTAACTGAAATTGATAGAATATAGGCAGAAGTGGTTGTGGATAACCACTTTTGCATTTTCTGCATTTTTTATGAATGGATCGAAAATGGTGGTAGTGGGTTGTGGAATTTAGCATCAGCTTCTCAGAAAATGTCACATGTCTACCTTTCCAGAAAAATGAGAAGTCCATCTGTCTGAATGGTGGGAGGCTATAGTCTTGTAGTGGGCTATGGACTTTAGCAGGAATTTCTCAAAAATTGCCACATGTCCAGCTTTCTAAAAAATGAGAAAGCCACTTCTCAGAAAATGCCATATATCTAAATTTGAAAAAGCTTATATATATAAGTGGGCTTGTCCAGAAGAGAGCTGTTTGTAGATGCTCCTCCTAGATTCCTGTCTGATGGTGCAAGTTTTTCTTCTAGTCTTGTGAACAATTTGTTGTTGTAGGTGGCTTGTGTTGGTTTCACTTTTCTCATGT